ATCTATGCACTGCATTCCCAGCTGCGGGAGGCTTTTGTCCTCCAACTTAATTGAAAATTGCTGTTTGTAATTAATTACCAGAGCTGTGCTCTGTGTCCTTTGTGGCTTGGGTGTTGGTGCTCACCTTGCCCAAAGCCCTGGGTGGGTGGAGGAAGCCTGGCTGTGGGATGAGTGTCCTGCTTTCCTGCCCTTCTCACCAGCCCCCTGCATTTTCACCAGTGCCCCTGGCATTCCCCTCTTGCCATCCTCCCTCCTGGGTTACTGCTTTGAGCCAGGCTTGGAGGCACAAGGCAGAGCTTTTGAGCAATCCTCCTTGGTAAAGTATGTCAACAACTAGTAATTGTTCTCCACTTTCTCCCTTTAATTCCCTTTCATCCACTTCCTGATTTTCCTATTGTACTTCCATGTGTGCCTCCAGTTTCCTGAGGGAGCCTGGCTTGTGTGGCAACTGCTCCTGCCTGGGCTACCTGGGGAGGCATTGGCTCCTGAAAGGTACTGCTGGAACTCCACACAGTGGGGAGAGCTGGAATTCATTACCCGGGAGCTGTTTGCTCATTCACTGCATCCTCCTTTGGTTTTACTTGTTCATGGGCTCGGGATCCCTGTCTCAGCTGCAGTGTGCAGGCTTCCTCCTTGCTGATGAGGTGGTTCTGGGGTGCTTTTGAGCTGTCCCTCGATGTTCTTCTAATTTTTGTGGCTTTTGAGATGCTTTCCAACAGGAAATGGACATGACAGTTTGAGACCAGTAACTTGATTCAGTTATTTACTTGCAATAGTTTTGCTTGTTGAGACTTCTAAGTGAATTTTTAAGAATAACATCGGGGTAAATGAAGGCCACAGAAAAATTCACTGAAGCTCAAACCAACTTGAGGCTTTTCACCTTCCTTCAGCTACACATGCATAGAGTGTGCAAAACAACAACAAAAAAATTGCTGTGGGTAGTAAATTATTTTGACAGGGTATTAGCTTTGAAGCCTAACTCCGGTGGTAAGTGCCCGTGATTAACATGACTGGGTGTGAAAGGGCCATAAGAAATACCCAGCTAATGCCCTTGTCTTTATTTCCCCACTTGCTGTGAGTGTTGAACCCTGTTGAGCCACAGAAAAGTGTGATTCTGCCTCAGCAGGCATCTGTGCACTACATGGCAAGCTGAAAATTTGGCAGAGAAGATATATTTTTTATTTTTGCTTAATAATACTTCAAACCTCTCTGAAATGTGTTGCAGAGTCTCCTGCAGGTTGTGACCCCAGAGTTCTGAATCTGGCAGTGATTTCTTATAAATAGGTTTTTTATATATCATACAATAGTTTTAGAGGGAAAATAATTACAGAATTATTAATAATTAAATAATTTAAAATATTTTTCTGGTGTTTATGTGAGCACAGGACAGTGTTCAGTCTGTCACCCACACAGCAGCCTGGCTGACTGTGTCCCCAGTGTTTGATTTCCTTTTCTCTGTGACTAGGAATGGGAATTACTGCAGGGAGGGTTCTGCCAGGCTCGCTGTCTCTCCTCCCAGCCTGGGAGTGATGCCAAGCCCTGCTCCCTGGGGTGTTCTGGGGACAGGTCCTGGGCATGGCAGGGAGAGCACAGTCTGGGCTCTGCTCCTTCTGCATTCCCACCTATCCATGGCATGCCTCAAAGGTGCTGGAAAATCGGGATATCACCCAAAATGGCCATGTCTTGGTGGGAGCTGGGGGAGGGCAGAGGGACAATGCCGGCCAGGGGAGGAGCAGGGATTCCCTGTGGCAGTGCCAGCTTGCCCATCCCCAGCCCAAACACCAGCCAGACCCCTGTGCTGCTGTCCCTTTCCTGCCCCAGCAGGGTGTGTTCAGGCAGCATCAGTCTCTCACAGGGCTTCTGTCACCTTATCTGTCACCTCCTTGTGCAGCTGGCCGTGGGCAGGAGCCTCGTCCAGAGGCAGCTGGCGCCTGTTGCCTCTTGATTGTGGCCTGGCTTTTGTAGGCTGTGCTAAACATTTACAGATGTGTGCTCCACAGAGACCAGGGACCGCATGGGGATGGGTTAGGTAGGTGTACATCATATATATTGGGTCAGTATCATTTAGTTATTATATACACCTTTATATTGGGTTGCTATAATTTAGTTATTATATACACATTTATATTGGGTCAGTATCATTTTTTATTAGATACACATTTATATTGGTCAATATAATTTTTATTATATACACATTTATAGTGGGTCAGTATCATTTTTTATTATATGCACCTTTATAGGGGGTCAGTATCATTTATTTATTAGATACCCCTTTATAGTGGGTCAGTATCATTTATTTATTAGATACACCTTTATATTAGGTGTCCTAGATTTGTGTACATATATGTGTCAGCTAGAGAGGTATCATGTGTTTATTTATACAAGTATTACGAAGTATTCCTGGTGTTTGAGGAGGGTGATCAAATAAACAAATGTCTGTATGATCAGATAAACAAATATCTATTTTCTACAGAGAGCATCCAGCTACTGCTGGCCTTCAGGTGGAAGCCTGCAGCCTCTGAGCCCTGCACTCCCGAGAACTGGAATTGCTCTGTTAGAGCTGTTGAAATGCAGGCATGCCTTAAAGCATTGCTTTTTTGAGGGCTGACTATTTCTGTATCAAACAGCCTCCTTTATTTCTGCTGAAGACAGGAAGCTTTAGGCAGTTTTGTATCAGGTGGATTTTTTTAAAGGATATTAATCATTCAAACACTGTATTCTAAAATCTCTACGGAACTTTTATTTTTTGCTCTTGGGAAGATGAACCATCACAAAAGCCCCCATGAGGCCTTCAGCTGTATGACCTCATATCATAACTGCCAAGCAAACCAGCAAAGCCCCTGGGTTTTTTTTGTTTTGTTTTTTTTTTTTTTGGGTTTGCAGTGGGGTTAAGTGTCAGCAGTGGGATTCCCAGGTCAGAGTGGCAGATGGTGCTCAGAGCCAGGCTGGGTGTTGCAAGAAGCTCAGCTGGGCCACAGGGTGTGAAGCTCCAGCTTGGGAGAAAAGGGCAAGCTGGGAAGCATAGGAAGGAGTAAAGGGGATGCCAGGCTGGGATAGGGGCAGTCAGGGGGTCAGGCTTATCCAAGCTTGGAGATTTTCACTTGTAACTTTTTGCTCCTCCTCTAGTTTCTGCAGCTTCAGCTTAACTGAGTGTGACCTGGGCAAATTAAAATGTTACTCGGGTGCTGGTTTGGCCAACTCATTTTTATTCCTTAGGCAATTAAGTTGCTGCAGTCAAAAATGCTTGTTAATCTATTTTTAAAAGAAATGTTTGTGGTCTCACTCGAGTATTGCCTGAATTTTGCAAAGCTCCATAAACTATGGGATGTGTAATTTCTATTCTGTTTTTGCAGGAAGCAATGCAGTGTGTCCTAAAAAGCTGTAGAGGATGCTGTGCAATTTAATAACTGTATTTTAAAGCCAAGCCATGTGCTGTCACTGCGTGAAATGAGGTTCTCAATACTCTTGCCTTAGACTCTTCACATCAGTCATTTGTTTTCTGGCTGGCTGCGTATGAACAGCTGAAAGAGAAACTTCCACTTTTGCAGTTGAACATCTATTGTGCCCCATTGTTTTGCTTTCTTTTTAGGCCTGTGTTTAGCTGTGTAGTGAGCAATGCCTTGCTTTGGTTGCCAGGCCATCCAGGAGCCTGGACAATAATGGCTTACCTTTTATTTCAGAGCACACAGAAATAAAAACAAGAAATAAAAAGTGATTTGAAATTCACATGTTGAGTGTTCAGGGTCTGATGTCAAGCTGCAGGAATAATTTCAGATTTTTTCAGTGCATTTTATTGATGATTTTTTTCTCCCAGTGAATGTGCCCAGCTCATGGCTTTGCGCTTTTCCCAGTCCTGCTGAAGAGCCTCCCCCTGTCTGTGAGGAGCGTGTTTCCAGTGCTGCTGGAGCTGGCTGACCTCTCTTTTAAATGTCAGAGGAGCCTCACCCCTGCCCTACAGATTCCATTTGCCTTTTCTAACCTTTCCTTGCCACTCTGCTTGAGGCAGCGTGGCTTTGGAGGAGCACTTGTGTCTCCAGAGCTGTGTTTTACACCTTTGCAGTTTTCTCCAGCTGTGTGAGCACTGCCTCTCACTGCTCCTGTTATGTGTGTGGGATCTGGGAAGTGCCCTGGCCAAACCGGCTGTCAGCAGGCAGGCAGAGCTGCTTGGTGGCCAGATTAATTCAGTGTTAGTTGGATAGCTGAGGAACAGGCAGTAGAGGTGTGTAAAGCTGTGATGGTGGTGTGGATTTAGGGATATCCTGCCTGAGCAAGGGGGATCAGTTGGGGTATGGATCCAGCCTGCTGCAAAACACCCTGTCCACTCTGGAGGGGGCTTAGGAGCCTGGTCCAGTGCAAGGTGTTCCTGCCTGTGGAATGGGCTGGTCTCCAAGGACCCTTCCAGCCCCAACCATCCTGTGATTTCCAGGGGTTTACTGTGCCTGTTTCCTGTGGGTGGGGAGGAAGGAAACGCTGCTTTGAGGTTTGGATTTTTGTCTGTCCTCCAGGGGCAAAGATTGGGAGTGGAATTGTTGTCTGCCCTGGAAAAACCTGTCCCAAAGGCTCTGCTCCTCAGGCAGAGGGGCTGGCAGGTGTCTTAATGACCAGACAATCACATCATCACATCAATGGCAACAGGAGCTTTTGAGTCCTTTGTTAATAATGATAATATGGGAATAACGTGAGAAACGAGGTTCAGTGGAGGCTGCTGCATGTGCTTTTTATAGGATAGGAGGGATTTGCTCTGGGAATTACCTCAAACTGATGAGCATGCACAGTTGAGCCCCTGATTCCAAGCACTGAACGAGGACCTTCACCTTCCCTTGCAGAACCAGAAAACGAAGGAGCAGATTGAGAGCCTGCTGCAGGATGGGAAACACGGGGAGCTGCGGGAGCGCCTGTGCTGCCGCCTGAGCTTTGGCACGGCCGGGCTGCGCTCGGCCATGGGAGCGGGCTTCTGCTACATCAACGACCTCACCGTCATCCAGTCCACCCAGGTGAGCTGGGCACGGCTCTGGGGGAGCCTCTGCCCTATGGGATCGGCTGCAATCCTCTTGAAACCCCTGAGCTGGGTGGGAGCATGGAAGGCTCAGTGCTCAGAGGAGATGAGGTGGCTTGGAGGGCTTTGGCTGGGCTGGAGTTTGGCCAGCGGTCACTCTGCTACACGGCCCCAAAGTTGGAAGTCTTGTGAGCTGCCACAAGAACTTGTAATACTTGTGGTATAATATAGAAATACTTGTAGTATTTCACAAACAAAACAACAAAAATAACCCAAACAAAAGCAAAGCCCCAGCCAAACAAAAATATTTTATTTTCAGCACAAGTTGTGGACCTATATAGACTGAGTATATTTCATGTCCTGAAACAGTTTATTTGTGCCCACCTCTAACCTTGATTGTTGGAAATAGAGGGAGCTGGTATCTTTGGAGCCCTTGTGCTTAGGAAATCAATAAAATGTTTGTTAGGACACGACTGATTTTTACCTATTTTGACAGATAATTTTTGTAGAAAATATGTTTCAGCTGTATGAATAAAGGTGTTTTATTACATGGTTTAGCAAGGGTTGGTTAAACCTCTTATTTAATACTGTGCACCCAAACTTGTCTGCTGGTTTCTCTTGCAGGCTGATGCTCTAACCTCCCTGAGGACATGTGACTGAAATAACGCTTTCTGCTGGCCTAGGGTGGAGGGATGTGCTTAGAGCTTGGAACAGCTGGTACTCTCCTAAGCTGTTTGCCATTCTGCTGTCTGGGTTGTACAACTGGAGCCCACACTCTCGTGGAGAGGCCCAATTCCAGTACTGTTTATGGAGGCTTTGTGTTGCAGTGTTGGTTTGCAGCCCAGCCTTCTCTCTGACAGTTCTGCTCTGCAGTATCCTCTTGACTCTAACAAAAAGCTTCCTTCAGGTGTCTGACCTGCAGACTGGACACATCCTAGGATGATACTTCCTTCCCTTCTGCCCTTCCTGCTGCAGGTGTGCCAGCTTCCTCTGCCAAAAAGGCTGCAATGGCAGGAACAGGTCCAGGCGGACTTTGCAGAGGGAGCAGATTAAGAAAAAGGGGTTTAACAGTCAACATGTTGCTGCCAGTGGTGGGATTGTTAAAAACAGCCGAGCTGCTGTGAGAAGGCCTGTTTCCTTGGCAGCAGAGGAGGTTTTTGGGATTGAATTCCCTGCTGCTGGGTTTGAGGGTGCTGGCTGTTGCCTGCTCCCTTTGTGGCTCAGGCTGGTGGAGTGTGGGGCCGCTGGCTGAGCCATGCTCCTGGCACAGAGGGAAAGCTTCTCTTTTGCTGGGCAGGGAATGCTTTGGCAGGCACATTTTCATCAGCACTGCTGGCTTTTTGGGAGTTCCAGACCGGGTGTGTGTGCTTCTGCTCCCTCTGCACAGCTGCTATTTTTAGTTGTTTATTAGAGCTTCGGATCAGGCTGGGGGAAGTGGATTGGAACTTGTTTCTGAAGCAAACTGCAGCAGATTTTGGCTTTGAGCATTCATGTTCCTCAGAAGCTGAGGCAGGAGCAGCTCTGCTGAACCTGGTGTGAGCACGGGCAGCCCTGGCTCTCTGGGTTTGCCCTTGCCTGGGACAGGAATAAATGGCCAGTCAAACAGCAGGCTTGGGTGTAATTAATACTTCTTCAGTTAAAATAAGCTGTAGTGAAGTTGCACATGTGTTCTGTGTCCTTCATTTGAGCTGATTTTTTTTCATTTGCTCTTCATTTGATTTGATTATATTGATGCTGTGAAAAGTCAGATCTAGGAAGGTGCAGAATATTCAGCAGTTGCTGTGGACCCTGCTGAAAATTGCAGGTACATAAACTCCGTGTAAAGCCCTGGTTCCCTGGATTCTGTCCTACTTTGATTCATGTCCAGGTGCTTTTATTGGTGGGGAAGAAACCTGTTGCTGAGCTCCACAGTGACAAAACCAGCCAGCTTTGCATCAAGGCATTTCCTGCTGCTTAAAAAGCAAAGATAAAGGTGTAAAATATGAAAATTTTAAATGCTGAGCTTTATAAAGCTGTTCCTACCTCTCTGGATTTCATCAATCAAAAATCTATTTCATTCATGATGCTATCACTCTTCCCTCACTTCTCTTTTGAGCTCGAGCATCAGGGACTGGGCATGCTGTAGATGTAGACTTGTTCTGTTCCATGGATTTTGCGACAGGAAATCACCTGAACCGAGCAGTGGGAGAGGTAATTGTGATACTTCAGTCATCTGAGGAGAATTTTTTGGCTTAGATCTTAGTGCTGACACCTGCTAATGAGCCATTAATGAGATGCACTTGTGCCTCCTTCAGAAGTGGTGGAAGTTTAATAGCAGAAGTAATTAGGGACACTATGAAAACCTGAGTCTTGTTAAAGGGAAATATAAATTCTTTAAATTGAGAATCTTTTCCAAGAGAGGACTTAACTCCAGAGGTGCTGGAATTCTTAACTGCCCTTGGGGCACCTGGGAGAAGATGGGTGTGAGCTCAGGTGGAGGGTTTCTAAGAGGCTCTGCACTCACTTCCTCACTGACATTTACTGATTTACTTTTATTTCCTGCAGCTTTCATAACAATGTTTGGATAGCAGGCAAGCCCTCTAGGACTGAGAGAACTTCAGCTGTGGAGTCTCTGTCTGAGCTTAAGGGGCTCATTTGAAGCAAACTGCTCCATAGCAGAAAGTAAAGACATTCCTGTTTTTCTTCATACAAAATCTTAGCCTAAGTAAGGGGTCTGTTATAAGAAATCTGCTGTTCATGTCTTTAGATGTTATTCAGGTTGCTCAAGTCAACTTGAGGAGTTTTCCCCATTCCTCTCTCTCCTCCTTGCAGCTGATCTTCCCACCCAAGCCATTTCCTGATTTTTAGGCAAATTTAGGACCGACGCTTTGGGGACAATGTTGAAAATGTTTGACTTGTTCTGTGGGCAGAGAGATAAAGACCAGGCTGGCACATCTGATATTGCCTGAGGGGATGGACTTCCAAAACATGGGTTTTTCTCAATTCAGTTTTGAGAAGATGATTTGAATAAATGAAGCTGCAGTATGGATTGAAAATGAGTGTTTGCTTCTTGAGGGTTTGTTGTTGTCCTGCTCGCTTTTATTTCCCAGAACAGTTTCTCTGGTTACTTTTTCAGTGAACACTGGGGAAAAGCCACTGCTGTTTTTGCGAATATTGTTATGGATGTTTGAGCTGTATTTTACCTACTGACATTATCCATCCTTTGTGAAAGATCACCTTTAGTGTTTGTGTGTGCTGCAGCCCAGCTAATTCTTATTTTCTCTTTTTTTTTTTTTTTTTTTCTCCAGGGGATCTACAAATATCTCAAGAGGAACTTTTCAGACTTTAAGCAGAGAGGCTTTGTTGTTGGCTATGACACACGAGGTCAGGTCACCAGCAACTGCAGCAGTAAGAAGTATGAGTATTGCTTACATTTGCAAGACTAGAAATGAAATTGTGGCTTTAAATGCATGCTGTCATGCCAGCACTCTTTCTCTTTGCTTGGGGTGAACTGGGCACACTCTTTCCTCTCCCTCAGTCCATTGCAACAGTAATGAGGAGAGGCTGGTGTCGGAACTCAAAATGTCCCTCAGACATTTTTAGAGGTTCCAGGCCTTGGTCAGAAGCATTTTAGACCCTGGCAAGCAGCTGAGAACAGCTGTGATTTTGAGTTTGAACCATGGAATGAATTACCAACTTTAAAGGTGGAACAAGCAGTCACAGAGGGTTAGATGATATAGTAAAAGTAGTCACAAATTAGAGGGTAAAATTTTTTAGTATTGTACAGGGGGGTTTTAACACCTGTACAAGGGGGTTTTACTTTGTACAGGGGGGTCAGGAGTTCTAAGATGGAGGAAAGTGGGCCTGATCCTGTTCTTCCTCCTTCTTCTTCCTTACCTCCATGTTCTTGGTGATGTTGGCATTTTTCTATTGGTTTAGGCTAGGGACACACTATTCAACGTAGATGATAGATATTGGCACATTATTGTAAATATAGTACACGTAATTTCTTGTATATAATGTTTGTACCATCCCACTGAGGGGCAGAGCCCCACACGCTGCCCTGCAGGACAGACCTGCGGCAGGGCAGCAGAACATGTTATAGATAGGCAAAAATAAACAACCTTGAAACCAGCACAGACGAACTATGGCTTCTTCTTTGGCAACGGGGCAGAAAGACAGAGACTTTCTACAATCTCGGAATCACCAATACCCACAGATTCCGACAGGCTGGGACTAAATCCTTTGTGCTACCAGTTTGCCAGTAAAGGAGGAGTACAAGGCTGCTTGCTCCACCTGAGAATTTACAGATTAAATGCACAAGAATGTTAGGCTTAATGTGCCTGGAGGGAAATTTGAACATGAAGGTAAATTTAGAATATTAACATCCATCTGGAAACCCCTAAATATTAATGTACTTTTTGCACTGTTGTTCTCTGGTATTTCACACCTGATTTAAGCTTGCTTGGGGGGGGGGGAGGGACAATTCCATCTGCAGCTTGCTATAACCCAGTGTATTTTCACTTTGAGGGGATTTTACCTGGAATGCTTAAAATGTAGGCTTCCAGCAATGGAACTGTGCTCTTGGCAAGGAAAGGGGAGAAAATTGCTTCCTGTATTCTCTAAGGAATCTTTATCCCTTGCCACTGGGGAGAAAAACACATGTGGGGATGGTATGCTGTGCAAAAAAGCCAACCCAGTACCTAGTTTGTCTTGAGGCAATGAGAAGTTAATTGTTGTAGTTATTGTTGTAACTAACAGTTCTTTTTTTTCTTAGTAGTATTTAATGTTTTGGGGATGAAGAAGTCCAGTAGAGCACAGAATGCAGTGAGTCTCTCCTCTCCCCTAGGCCTCAGGATGTGTGTGGCCCATTTTCCCCAGGCTTTGGTGTGAGGGGTTTAAACTCGCTGGTGATACTGAGCTTTCAAACTCAGACTGTGTGGGTTAGACACAGTCTAAAAATGGGGAGGTGTAATAGGGATGTTCCTTTTTAGCCTCTCGAAGCCTGCCCTTCAGCCTATATGGTTCACACAGTTCCTGACTGTGTGTTTCTCCTGTCCCCTGGCATCCTACACCCTTCCAGCAGTGCTGAAATCCAGCTGAACTCCCTCAAAAGAGCTCCCATGGGGAGTAGAGTGCTTTCCCAGTGCTGTGTGGGATGGCAGGTCACACAGCTGTGCTCTGTAGCCAAGTTGGTGTGACCCAAGCAGAATTTCAGTAGCTTCAGCTCGGAGCTGAGCTCTCAAACCCACCCAGGTGGTCTCAGGTGACATTTGACACGTGCTGTAGGGGAACTCTCAGTCTGTTGCTGCTGATGGAGAGAAGCAAGTCAGTACTAGTGCTAGTACTAGTGCTTGGCTGTGAGAACAAGGCAGCAATGTGAGCTTACCCCATTTAGTATCTCCTCTGTTTTGCTTCTGAAACTTCCCTTTATCTCCTGGGCTGTGCAAAAGAAGCTTGGTATCTGTTACCTGGAAGAGAATGAACCTCCCTGGTGCTTGAAAGGGCAAGTTCATAATAAAGTGAGAATTAGAACTATGGGCACTGTTCTTGTTTCTAAATATTCTGAAATGAGGGGTGCTGCTTTGCAGCAATATATTTTAGGACTAGATCTGCTTCCTGGGCATTGTCTGAAAGTGCTGAGCAGGGCTGGCAAAGGAGCCTTGTGTGGGATACCAAATCCTTTTCCAAACCTGCTGTTGCAGACATCTGGTACTTCAAACTCTCTGGGAAGCTGGTTCTGTCCTTGAGCAGAGGGTTGGGTGTTCTGTGTCTCTGTGTGGGACATCTGCTTTGTTTGGGTGAGGGGCTGAAGTGCCTGCACTGCCCAGGCAGCAGCTGAAAGTGCTGGCTCACATTCTACAACCTGGAAACTCTGACCCTGATGGTGCAATTTGTAGGATACCACTCCAAGCATAAGCCAAAAAGTAGTGCAGTGCCTTAAGAAACAAATGCCTGGAGGTGACCGGAATTCCATCTGGCTCTTAGGCTGCCCTGGGGAGCTGGGGTGACTGAATATTTTCTTTTTCCTGTTGGTAGGCTTGCAAAGCTCACTGCAGCAGTCCTGCTGGCAAAAGATGTGCTTGTGTATTTCTTCTCTACCTATGTCCCTACCCCCTTTGTGGTGAGTCACATTCTCATTCTATTGTTGCAGCACACAGTTATGGGAGTATTTGAATTTACTAAAAAAGAGAGCTTCAGTTTTCTTTAATTCTGTTTAACACAAAAATGGAGGCTGCTTGGTACACTTGGCTCTTCAAGGAGGCTGTTACAAGGATGTCACCAAATTCCTCAGTGCCTCTGCTTTTAAGATATCAAGAATAGGCTCTTCTGGTCATGGCAGCTTTTCCGTGCATGGTTGTAAATCCTTGCTTGTATTCCATGAGCTCTCCCAACATGCTGTGTGTTCTATGGATCCTGGTTTGAGGGGAGGACTGGAATGCCTGGAGAACCTGTGATTGTTCTTCAACAGGCCTTTCTGTGCATTCCTTTGTTCTGTTTCAGCCTGTTTCCAAGGGCTCCTGTAATCTCAGTGTAGACTTTTGGCTGGCCAGTTAAGGATTTTTGCAATTGATAAAAAAAAGAATGTTTTTCTGGAGTGGAGTTGGAGCAGCTTTCTGCTGCTGGCTGCAGGAGACAGAGCGTTGGTGTGTGTGGTTTTCAGATGGGCTGGGGCGGGGTTGCAGGCAGCCCTGGTGTGCTGGGGCAGTGTTTGTGGCAGAGTTTGTGCTGAGGGCTGTCTCTGCTCCTTTGCAGCCCTATGCCGTGCAGCAGCTCGGGGCCGTGGCTGGGGTCATGATCACCGCGTCCCACAACCGCAAGGAGGATAATGGCTACAAGGTGAGGCCAGTGTCACCCTGCCCTGCCAGGGACAGCTTTCCCTAGCCCAGGCTGCTCCAAGCCCTGTCCAACCTGGCTGTGGAGCCCTCTGGGATGGGGCAGCCTGTGCCAGGGCTCCCCTTTCTGTGTGTGTCCACTGGAAGAATAACTTATGTAAAATAATTCATCCTTCTACAGCCTGGCACACTTCTCTGTGATGAGAGCATAGGAGCACACGGCTTGTGTATCTTGAACATAAATCTGAGTCTTATCAGCAGCTGAAGAAGTGCTCCAGCAATTTGTGTGTTCGCTGCTGAGGCTTAAAACTCAGTTTAAAACTAAGCCAGAACTGAGGTGCATTCATGCACACAGTAGGGGACTGTGCTGAAGATGAGAATGATTTAAGAGTGGATTAATAAAACACGGTAGCATTGTGTTATTCCCTGGTTTTCTGGGCATTGGGGGGGGGGGGGGTGTCCACTTGGAAATCAAAGCCTGGGACAATCAAACCATCCACAACAGCACTCAGTTAAGTGCTTTAACTGAGTTTAAGTGTTTTAACTGAGTATTTCCTTCCTCAGCTCTGTAAGAAGCTGAACTAAACTCTCAACTTTAGCTGAGCATTCTGAAAGCCCTGTGGCAGGTCAGTGAGTGAGGAAAGGCAGAGAGAGCTCTTGGGGGTGATTGAACTGCTCTCACCTTCCCTGGAACAAATTGTGAAGTTTTTCACCAGCCTTTGCTTCTGCTTAGCTGGAGCAATGAGTAAGGAAAGAAGCCACATGAATTTCCCAGGTGCTTCATTTGTCAAGAAGCAATTTTGTTTGTGTCTTCTGATACACAGCAGTTTACTTCTGCCAGGACCCTGGTGTGTTTCCTGGTCTTTCCCAAGAGCTGTTTCATCTGTCACAATTTCCCGTGTGAATTTCAGCAGCTTCTGAAGGTTTTGGGCAATGTTGACCGAAGGTGAGAAAGCAGAGGCAGATCATCTGAGCAGAGTCTGCACTGTGAGCCCAGCCGTGCTGTTGGCAACAGGGTGTGGGAAAGCTGGCCTCTAAATCTTTAACAAAGGCTTTATTATATTATAGCTGAGCTTAGATACGGTGTTTCCACTCTAGAGGGTGTTTCCAGTCCAGAGATTAGTGTTGTTCAGCTGTGGAAAAACACGGACCTTGGCATGCTGCTTATCTGTTTTGCTTTGGGTTCAAAAACAAGCTGTGTTCCTATTCCAAGAGGAATGCCAGCCTTGGAGAGGGTGATACTTTTCTAGTGTTACAGTTTGCACTCCTTGATACAAGTGCCCGGTTTTGGTTTCTCACATCCTGATATTTCAGTTCAAATTATTACATTTGAACAATTATTACTATGATTTGTGAAAACAGAGTGTGTTGTTGTGTTAGCTCCATTTATCAGTTGTGAACTCAGTGGTTCATGCTGGATGATTCCAAATGAGAATGTCTTGAGAATCAAGCCAGTCAGATGCTGACTTCTCTGTATGGCTTAGCAGAAAGCAGGTGGAATCCTATAGCTAAAATAATGTATCAGGTTAATAATCTTCATAATTAAACTGTCTTGTTTTCCTTCTACTTACCCCAGGTTTATTGGGAAAATGGAGCACAGATCACCTCTCCTCACGATAAGGAAATTATAAAATGCATAGAGGAGTGTGTTGAACCATGGAATGGCTCTTGGAATGAAAGTCTGGTAGACACCAGTCCCCTCAGACAGGATCCTCTGAAGAAAATTTGTGACAGCTACATGGAGGACCTGACAAAGATCTGCTATCATAGGTATTGTATAAAGCAAAAGGTGCCCGAATTGTGTTTTAAAGTAAGCTGTGGGTTGCATGTGGAAAAACTGACTGTAGATAGATTTTACTGTGTTCCCTGAGGTGCCTTTAAATTCAAGGGTCACCATCCTTAGGGTTAAACAGTTTGAGAATAAAGCAGCTGCCTTTGGGGATTAAGTTACTGTGAAACATCCCAGTGGAAACCATTTAATGCAAGTGAATACGCTCTGAGAGTTCTGAATAAAATGCAGAAATTCAAAGTGAGGTGCACATGCATAAAACAGATTCAGTCTAAAGGTTAGGTGGGGCAGAGGATAAGAATAAAAGGAGGAGGATGGATGGCATGAAGCAGATCTGGAATAACAGATTTTAAGGTGGTGGAAGAGCTTGAGTTTGATGTAGAAATCAACAGTTTATTCCTGGGAGACTTTGATCTGTTTCAGCAGAAGGTAAATATTTCATTTTCCAGGAGAAGCAGCTTTAACCCAGCAATTTCTAGTGCAAAATAAGCACTTTCACTCATTCCTTTGAAATTAATGCAGGAATCAGCAGAACAGTACACCGAGGAACTGCAACTTTGCTTTCCCTGATGAAAACAGTCTTGTTGAAGAGCTGAGATCCTACTGAAGCTGTGTTTCCTCCTCAGGGAGCTGAACATGCAGAGCAGTTTGAAGTTTGTCCACACCTCTTTCCACGGAGTTGGCCACGACTATGTTCAGTTGGCTTTCAGAGCCTTTGGCTTCCAGCCCCCCATTCCAGTCCCGGAGCAAAAAGATCCAGACCCAGACTTCTCCACTGTCAAGTGCCCAAATCCTGAAGAAGGAGAATCTGTGCTGGTATTTTGATTTCTGCTTCATCTGATTTCCTTGGGGAAGAACAAACTGAGGGAGTGAACAGGGAGAACCTGCTTTCTGCTTTTCTGCTCTGTCAACACAGTGGGCAGTCCATGGGGGGTTTTTCTTTCACTGGGTGTTAGATGGAAGTAGGGAGGCTGTGAGTTTATTTACTCTTACGTTTTGGATTTTTGAATCCCTTCTTCTCCCACCAGGAGCTGTCACTGAGGCTTGCAGAGAAAGAAAGTGCAAAAGTAGTAGTGGCCACTGATCCAGATGCAGATCGTCTGGCAGTGGCAGAACAGCAGGAAAAGTAAGTGATGTGACCCTTTTCTGTGTCTTCCTCCAGAAAAGGTGGTGAGAGCCACAGAGCGGCCCCAAATGGTTGCCAGACACAGGCCTTCAATCCACTCTTTTCCTTGGGTATATGGTTATTTTTCCTTCTAGTTTTATCCTTTGGTATAGCTCAAAATGCATTTTAAATCAGTTCACCCATCAAAGAGTCAATTAAATGCTTACTGGTGTAATAGTAAATGGCCAAATAAAGCTCAGCTGAAAACAGAGTGGTTACTGAAGGCAGTAAAATCCTTTGTTTGCTGTGTTTTCATTTAGATCAGGCCAACCTTCCTTGGCGGTTGTCATGGGCTTTTTTGGTGGAGCGGGGTTTTTTGGCTTGTTTTGTTATTTTTAATTTTAATCCTTTGTTTTCCCCTGCTTGTTCATATTGAACAGAAATTATTTTTCTCCCACTAACAGGCCCCAGTTCTGATGGTTGTGTAAGTAAAAGCTGAGCAGGCTCTGCCTGACTGCAGTGTTCAGGCTGCCTAAACTGCTCTGTGTGGATCAATTCCAGACTGCTCTCCTGCTGCTGGGTCATCAAAGGCCTGAGCTGCCAGAGAGGAGACCCTGGGGGGTGCCTTTGGGCTCTGGGCTTGTAAATCCTTGAGGTGTGATAGGTGTGGAGTCTGTCAGTACAGTGGCTTTGCCTAGAGCAGCTTTTCAGTGCTATGCTCACATTCCGTGTTCAGTGACTGCAGAATTCCTCTCCTCCAGCCTTGACCTTGCCTCTCTGGGTGTTCAGTGCCTGCAGGGTTCCTCACCTTGCCTCTCCCTGCAGTGGCTGCTGGAAGGTGTTCACGGGCAATGAGCTGGCAGCCCTGTTTGGCTGGTGGATGTTTTCCTGCTGGAAGGAGAACTGCCCCCAGGATGCTGACATAAGGAATGTTTACATGTTGGCAACCACGGTCTCCTCCAAGATTTTGAGGGCAATTGCACTTAAAGAGGGATTTCACTTTGAGGTGAGTGTGGGTTGTGTGGTGCTGGCTCCATCGGAACCCCTGCTGGTGACCTCATGGAGTGAAAAGTGGGCAGGGGACTCCCAGGCTTCTGGCTGAGAGTTCTGAGGGATTCCAGCTTGCAGAGAAGGAAATCAGGCTTGTGTGGGTGAAAGAACTATCCCCTCAGTGTTCTGGGACTGGGAGATCAGTGTGAGCAAAGCTCAGTCCCAGGGACACAAATTAACACCTGAATTGCAGGTAACAGGATATCATATATATATTCAGATAACTACAGCTGTGGTTATCTGAAATCTTTGTGTGAGAGAAGGGAGGTTTGTGCAGCCTGCCCTGCTCACTCTTAGTGTTGATGGGTGTGTAGGGACTTGGCGGTTACCCAATGGCCCCTCAGGTGCCTGTGCCAGCAGGTTTTGAATTAAGGTTTACTTCAGGCAGAGAAACTCCTGTGTTCAGATCTTTAATATGCAGCTTTAAGAACTTGCTAAAAAAGAAACTGGGGGTGCTCCCCCCAGACTGACAGTTTAGTTCCTGCATCACATAAAATGGGATTCCTGTTGGTTGTTAGCCAGAAGAGAGTGAAGTGCCCAAGATCATAGCACAAACATACAAAGGGCCAGGCCTTGTTTATATGTGTCTTAATTAAATCCATGTGCAACAGGAATAAATATCTTGCCAAAAAATGAGGAACATAAAATTGAAAATAACTCTGAAAACCATTTTGAGTGGCTGGCCAGATAATCCTAATCAGGGTTCCTTGTCAGTTCCTATAGTGGATTTGGTTCTCTCTCTAAATATGATTCGTTTTTTTTTTTAATTGGAAAAGGACATACTTGACTGAAAAAGAGAAGCTAGGAATTTACACAACCTCTTGGCCTTCTGTAGAACCTCCCCTTTCTTATTTGGCACTTCCTTCCCTCCAAGAAAAGCTGTTTCTAGGCTTTTGACTGCTTTTGCATGATTTATGTAAAAACCCCCCAGAATAATGCTCTCCCCTCCCAGCACCTAAAAGTGTTGCTTTTATATTTCTGTAGCTTTTCCTCCTGAATTACTGTGTCTCATCTGATGAGCAGCACAGATGATCTAATGTGATCTGAGCGCCAGAGTCCCTGACACACTTTTTCCTTGGTTTGGTACTTGTGTCCTAGTTGAATATCCACTAAGAAAACCCTTTCCAGTGGCTCTTTGCCTTGGACTCCTCATCCTAACTGAAGATGTGACTTGTCTGATGCTTCTTTATTGTCCTTATTCTGCTTGTCAATTAATTAGATTTAAATTTAAGGAAATCACTTTAAAAGAACCAAAAAAAAATCCTTAAGCTTTAGTGTTTTGACTCTGCAGCAGGCTTTCCCATTGACCTTAAAATTCAAACTACATTGTTATATTTTCACTTTGGTTGGTGATTTGGTTTTTTGTGGTGTGTTTTTTTGGTTTTTTTTTTATTAGTGTGAAGTGAAGGAAACAGTGGCTATTCTTTCTTTCAACTGAAACTAAGTGGAAAATATGTATTTTAAGCCTTCCTTCCCCCCCCCCCCCCCCCCCCCCCCCCCCCCCCCCCCCCCCCTTTTTAGGAAACACTCCCTGGTTTTAAATGGATTGGAAGCAGAGTAAAAAATCTCCTGGACAATGGAAAAGAAGTTCTCTTTGCATTTGAAGAGTCTATTGGTATGAGTGTTGGTATCCCTTTAAACTGTTGAGAACTGAGGGTGGGAATGTGCTCAGGGAGGGACTGAGCTATGAAATAAAACACACAGACAAAGTGCTTTATTTTTATCCTAGTAGTTCATAGCATTGATATTTTGCTCTCATCAAATTGGCCTGCCAACTCCCATAATAAATGGTATCTGACTTGCTGATGTTGCTGTTTTGCTTATCTTCCCAGCCCTATAATCCGCAAGTTCATTAGATTTCTCCTGCATATGCAGCAATAAAGCTGCCTCCATGTACTGGCCAATTTCCCTTTACAGGATCAAAGGTTAGAACTTCAGTCAGGTGAATCAGTGTAATAATCTGTCAGGTTATTTTTCCACAATCCCTTTTTCCTTCCTAGGCTTCATGTGTGGCACATCAGTGCTGGATAAGGATGGAGTGAGTGCAGCTGTGGTCATTGCTGAAATGGCAACTTACCTGCAGAGCCAGGGCCTGACCCTGGCACAGAAACTCGTTGACATTTATGAGATGTGAGTGGTGTTTTTCATACTGGAATATTCTACTCCACTGTTTCAGAGCTGGGAATCATCTAAGGAATATTTACTTAAATATATAAGTAAATGTTTGTGTCCCTCAGATGTTTTCTCATTGTAAGCTGCTGTGGGGTTTTTTGTTGTAGGATGGATTACAGCCCATCACTGGTGTGGATATCACAAGGGGCTCCAGGAGGGCTGGAGAGGGATTTGGGACAGGACACAGAGAATGGCTTCCCACTGCCAGAATGAATCTGTGACAGAGCAGGAAGGAATGGCTAGGGATGCAATCCCAGCGATAAAACAAGGGTGTGTTTGTCAGAATTAACCCCTGTAGTGAGACCTTTTGGGTACCAAATGTACTAAAACCCTTTGAATCTTAGAATTGAAAACATGAATCTGCTTGTAGGTATGGGTATCACATATCCAAGACTTCCTATTTCCTGTGCTATGAGCCTCCCACCATCAAAAGGATATTTGAGCGGCTGCGGAACTTCGATGGCCCTCAGTCTTACCCCAAGTGCTGTGGGGCTTACAACATCCTGCATGTCCGAGACATCACCACGGGCTACGACAGCAGCCAGCTGAACAAGAAGTCGGTGAGTGAGAGTGTTTGTGCAGAGGAGGGTCTGCAGAAACTGGAATGCACGGGGAAGGAGGCAGCTGTGGGATGTGCTGGTGATTCTGATGCAATGACCTCTGTTGACTCCCTGCTCCTGCAGCTCCTGAGCTCCCAGGGGCTGCTGCAGTGGCAGTAAGGGGTTGCTGTGATTTTGTAGGTGCTGCCAGTGAGCAAGAGCAGCCAGATGATCACGTTCACCTTCCAGAACGGCTGTGTGGCCACGCTGCGCACGAGCGGCACCGAGCCCAAGATCAAGTACTATGCCGAGATGTGTGCGCTGCCCGGGCACAGGTCAGTGCCCCAGCAGGGCACCAGGAGGGGGCTTAGCATCTGCTGCAGCAGGCTGCTCTCACAAACCCAGTTCCCCAGTTACTCAGAGTTAAAACTGCTCAGGTGACAAAGTCGCAGAGTTGGTTAGGTTAGGAAAGCTCCCTGAAATCGGAGTCCAACCTGTGACCAGCCCTCACCTTGCCAACCAGACCAGAGGGCTGTCACATCCAGGCTTTTCTTTCACTCCTGAGGTTGTGCTGCTGCTGAAGAGAGTGGGAGCCCACCTGGCTGCAAACACAGCCTTTGGGAATCTGCTGTTACCCTGAGCTGTGGGAGAGGAACTAGATGTTGTTCACCTGGGTTGAGCTGCTTCAAGTTTAAAAGTGATGGGGGGGAATCCGGGGTGTGTTTACACCACAGAAACCTCTTTCTTCATGATTATGGAACCATGGAATGGTTTGTGTGGGAAGGGACCTTAAAGACCATCTTGTTCCACCCCTTTGCCATGGGCAGGGGCACCTTCTCCCATCCTAGGTTGCTCCAAACTGGCCTTGGGGTGGGGCAGCCACAGCTGCTCTGGACAACCAGTGCCTGGGCCTTGCCACCTGATTATTGCACTATTAATTGAAATTAATTTAATTAAAGGAGAAAAAGGCCACTAGAGGGCTCTAGGCACCATCTTTAAAAGTCCCTTCCAACCCAAGCCCTTCTGGGATTCCATGATAGTCCTGCTAAAAAGGAGCTTTTTAAAACAGGAGTCCCTACACCTGGTGGGGTAGGAAATGTAGCAGGGCAAGTCCATCCCCATCAGCTCTTGCTGTTTGTTTATTTATTTATGTTTGGGCATTTCCCAGACCTCTGACCTGGGCCTGTTCTTTCCTGCAGTGACAGAAGTGTGCTGGAAGAAGAGCTCCAGAAGCTGATTGAGGCTTTGATCGGGAATTTCCTGGAGCCTGCCAAGAATGGGCTGACCTGGCGCTCTGCATAGAGCCCGCAGCCGCAGGAGGCACGGCGTGGAACAAAGGACCCAGGAGCAGAACACGCTCATCTGTGTGTGTGTGTGTTTTAAACAGCTGCATTCTTTTTCTGTAAAGAAGAAGCGTTCTTTTGTCAGGCTTTTCACCAAATTGGGATAAGGAGAGGAGGTCAGAGGAAAGGATAGCATTTATTGTTGCAGTTCTCAGTCCTTTTGACCAAAAGTTTAATTAACCCACACCAATGCAAATGAACTGCCCTAGTACCTTTGAGGCAGCTGAGCTTAGCTGCTACATCTTGTCTTAAACTCAGTTCAGATACCTAAAACACCTCTTTTTTTTTGTGTGTGGAAAAGTTTTAAAGTTTTAAAGGGAGTGATCACTCCAAACTGACAACAAAGGCTGCTTCTTCCCTGCAGCTCTGAGACCTTCCATGCAGGTCTGCACTTCCAAAAGCATCAAAGCAGAGCTCAGCATTTCTTGTTTAGGCAAATTGTTGACATTTTTCAGCTACTTAAGAATTCCTCTGTCGGTAAAGGTGTTCTTGGGCATTGTAGCTTTCCTGTGTGTGTGTCTTAAAATAATTGGCAATGAAACAATAGTGGCAACAGCTGCAGCTTGGGGTTGGAATTGCCTGGTGCCTTTCCAAGGCTTCCAGAGGAGCAGGAACTTGGTCATTCCTTGTTAAAATGGCCCTTTCTGACTACCAAAGGCTCTGTAGCTACTTTTTTGTCCCACATCTCTGAAGGGTCTGAAGTGGTCTTGATTTTCTGTATTCATTACTTTGAATGAAAATGCCAGTTGGTGACTTTCTGGTTTTTGCTGGCCTGTATTTATATTATCTGTGTATTAAAAAAGACAAAACCAAGGAAGGAAGTGGAGATGAGGATGAGACTGACACAGTTACTAAATGGTGATTTTTATTTTTTTAAATTTTGTCATGCGCTGTCAGGTAATATTGCAAATACTGTTATTCCCTATCTTCAAGGGTAAATTTTTAACAGCTTCTCTCATTTGTTTTCTCCCTTTGCTGAAGTAGCAAGTGGGACTTGTAATCACATTTTCCAAGAAAGCCACCCAAACCAATGCTCAAGTTCTCCTTGTGGTTATTTTGGATTTTGGGCAATAAAGGCTGTGTTTTGGCACAGGAGAGCTGGTTCTGGAAGCTCCCTGCTGTCACTGGCAGGGAGAAAAGAAAAGCAGCAGCAATTTAGTGCTGGGTTTTATCTCTGTTGGGGATGATGGGAGAAGCCCCCAAGGTGCCCTGGAGTTCAAGCTGTTGTTTTGCCACTATTGTTGCCTCTCCAAATTCAGCCTCCCTCTGATGATGCCCTTGCAGCTTGATGCCACAGGATGGCACAGGGTAGGTTTGTGTGTGTTGCCTCTCCATGGCTTCAGAGAGCCCTGAGATTTGGGGGTTTCCTGCTGCTAGCAGCTTTGTACTATACCCATGGAGAAGTATTTCAGTGTCTGTGAATGTATGTGTACTAGAGAAGGTCTGTGTTGCACAAGTTCTGACCTGTCACTGCTATTTATTTATTTTTTTTTTATCTTAAGTGAAAGTATCTCCAGATTGTTCTGCCAGTGAGTGAAATGTATCTAATTCCAAAAGCTTGGGTTTTTTTTTTTACCTTGATTGTACATTTGACTGACATGGTGGGGAAAATAGGCAAACCCAGATACCCTCAGAGGATGCTTTTGTTGTTGTCTGTGCTGGGTAGGGCTGGGAAGGCATTTCTGACTGCTGCTTTGCCTTCAGCTCACCCAAAAAAAAAGGATGCAGATCTGGATCCCCACTGCACTGAACTTGAAGGAGCTCTTTGGCAGGAGAGTAACCCTGAGGTGTTGAGGATTTTGTTATCCAAGTAGTGAAGAGAACAAGTAACTTGGGACATAATTTTGAACAAACACTGTAAAAAGCATAGTGTGTGTGTGGTGAGCCCAGCTGTGTGTTATTGTAGCAGTCATGTCTTGTGAGTGATGGCTGTGCTCCTATGAAGAGCAGGAATCTGCAGCTTCCCAGAGATCTGCTTTGTGTCAGTTGGCAAGTGCTAGAAATTGAGAAAATGTTTTCAAAGAAGCCTTGTTAGAAGTTGGTAACTGTTCATAGTCTAACTGTGCTTAATTAAAGAAGAAAACCCAGCTGTGGCGTGTTTTGTGTCTGGGATTTTCCCCTTGGATAGGTCTGACAGGGAGCTGTAGCTGTAGTGATGCTTTTGGGAGGACAGCAGCAGGCATAAGGTGTTGAATGTACTTTCAGGGTATAATAACTATTTGCTGTTTTGAAACTGCTGCTACTGTTGTTTTCCTACTGTATTGGAACTGGTTGATATATTTATACTGTTCCATTTGTGGAACTCCTTTATCTCCTCCCTCTGATCTTGCATCCCTTACTTCTCTTACTGTGAAGGACTGGAATTCTCATTTCCTTGCCCTGTAACTTTGTAATGCATCGTGTTAGAGTTCACTGGGATTGCGCACAGCCTTCTCCGAGTTGTCAGCTGTTCTTTCCCACTTTTCAGATAAGAACAAAGGCTTTTCTGACTTGAGTAGAAAGCAGGTCACAGATCAGAGGACACTGTGGATGTTGTTTCTGAGGTGCTTCCAGGTGAAATGCACCTTTTCAAAGGCTGGGCAGTGGCTAAAGCTGTGGTCATACAGCCATACAGGTGTGTTCGGCTTGGTGTTCGATAAAATCTGGAGGGCTTGGGTTTGTCCCCTGGCTGTGACAGGTTTAATTCCTGCGGTGAAGTCGTGTGTCTGTGGGCCTGGCACAGGAACTCTGAGTTCAGGGCTTTGCCAGGCAAGACTGTGAGGCAGAGCTTGTAGCTGGGTTTCTTACAGAGGTTGTGGCAGAGCATCCAGGGTGTGGATTAAATTCGTGCAAGTGCTGTCCACCTGTCCCTTCCAGCTCCCCTGAGGGTGTGTGAGGGAACTGTGAACTCTGGTGTGCCAGAGGAGCAGGGAGTGTGTGACAGGGAGGGCTGGGCTGCAGTGGTGGCCCAGAGGAGCAGTGTAGCCCCACTCTGTGCTGGGCTGCTGAGGCAGCTCTGCTTCCCATGTGTCCCAGCAGGATGTGGCTCCAAGGAGCTGGGCTGGCCTTGGGCTGCAGGAGAGCTGGGATCTGGCCTGGGGAGCTCTGCTCATGTCCCTTTGAAATACCCAGCCCTCTGAGGGAGGGGAAGCACACCCTGGTGTGGTCCATGGGGTGCATGAGGAGGGCAGATCCTCTGGGGCTCCAGCTGTCCAGGTAGAGTGTCCATTGCTGCCCGGGGCTCCCTTGCCTGCCTCCCCTGCTCCCAAAGTTGCCTGCATGTCCACATCCCTAGTGCTGCTCCCTGGCTCAGCACTTTATGTGCCCTCCCTGCCAGGCTCCTGAGGTCACTGGGGATTCCAGCTCCCATTTCCTTGCAGGAAGTGTTTGTGTGGAAGCCAGGAGAAGGAGACATGGGTTCTGCCATTTGGGCAGGGTGGGATCTGTGCGCAGCTTCAGGAGGCACCTGGATGCTCTCTAATTTAAAAACTGATATTGTTATCACTTTGTTTTGTCTTCCCCTCTGCCTTTTTGTCCTCTCCCCCACCAAGAAGGGGCTCCTTGCATGGTGACACCTGGGTGGTTACAGTCCAGCTTGATTCCCTCCACTCAAGAATGGCTTTGTACAGGTGACTGAAGTATCTCAAGTTGCATCATTCCCCTTGCCTGCAATCTCGGAGAGTTCTGAATCTGTACTCCCGTTTACCTGATGTCTGTTCTGTAAAGCTAGGGTGTATTACAAATACAGAGTGAGAATTTGCACTTTTCTGAAGACTTTCTGTGTACTGCTATGTGGATTTAGCTGAATGAAGTATTATAAGGAATAAAATATTCCCTTCGTAATCTCAATCCAGGTTTCTTTGTCTTCTTTAGCAAAACACCTCTGCCCCAGAAGCTGAGCTTGCCTTGGAGGAATATCCATGTGCCACTTGGATAAGGCCTGCGAACAAGAGACTGTTCAGAGCCTCCTCCTTTTGATGCCACTGAGATCTCCCTGATCATGGAGGGTGTCTCTGGGGCTGAGGGGACCCGGAGTGTCCCTTCAGTGGTGGCTGCAGCTTCATCCCAGGGAATCCTGTGTACCTGCTGTTGTTTTATCTGCCAAGGCTGCTATCCCTGGGCCTCTCTCCCCCTCCCAGCTCACCACAACCACCTCTGAATTCCAGCCCATCCTCTGCAGGCCATTGCAGTGGGCTCGAAGCAGGGGAGAGGGTTGGGTTTCTTTGGGCTGAAGACAGGGGAGCAGTGGCAGCACCCCGGGCACAGCAGGGACTGTAGTGGGGACACCTGGCTGAGCCCCTGCTGGGCTGTTGTTGCAGCATCCAGCACTGGATGTCACCACTGGTTCCTGCAGGGAGATGGAACCCTGCGTGTCCCAGTGTGTTCCCCTCAGTGTGGGGGACAGCCAAAGGCCAGGCAGGACCCCTGGCAGTTCAGGGTTGGGGTGCACTTAAGCAGTGAGAGGGGGGACCCCAGGACTGGCACCCGCTGTCCTTGTCCCTGCTGCACACAGGCATTTCTTCCAGGACAGCACGATGGGGCTCGTGGGAGCAGTGTGGGGGACCAGAGCATCTCCTGGAGGCTCCATGGCCCCTTGGTGCTGCTGGCAGAGCACCAGGACCCAGGGACACCCGCCTGGGAGCAGCCAGGGTCGCTGGAAGCCGATGAGTCCTGGCAGGCAGCACTGCCTGGCTTTGCATCCAGGTCTTATCAATTTAAATGTTCATTTGGTAATTAAATTAATTACCAATGTGCCGAGCCCAGCCTGCATGGGCTGTTCCCTGGGCTCGGCTCTCCGCAGGCTCCTGAGGCATCTCCGGAGCCAGTCCCTCCTCGATTTGCCCTGCTCGGCTGCTTCCCGCTGGGGGAGGACCGGACTGGTGCCCCGGGGGCTGGTGCTGGTGAAGGGCTGGGTGCTCCCTGCTGTCCCGTTCACCTGCTGGAGCACCTGAAATCCCGTCTGAGGGCCTGGGGTTGGGAGCGGGACCAACAGCCCCCAAAACCTGGTCCCCGGAGTCAAGGGGAGACCCTCAATTGCAGTTTGCTAAAAGGGAAACTGAGGCACAGGGAAGAGAGAAGTGGGCTCAGGGACCCATCCTGCCCATGCACAACAGCATTCCTGAGGCTGGGGAGCCTGAACAATTAGAAGTGATGAAGGTCATGTAAAAATAGGGATTTGTAAATGTCAGGTTGGTGAGAGGCTGGGGCATGTGCCGGGTGGACGGAGCAGCTCTGCAGGCTGCCTGTGTGTCCTTAGACAGGACCAGGGACCTGCTCTGGCCTGCCCTGGGGTGATCCTGGCTCCCTGGGAGATCCCCAAACCCCCAAGAACTAGACAGGCAGCACCAGAGGCATTTTCTGGCCGTTTTATCCTGACGGGAGCTGCAGAGGAGCCCAACTCTGCTTTGGATGGGAGATGAGGTGGGAGACACTGGGCCCTGAACACAAGTCACTTTCCACTGGTTTTTGATAGGAGGAAACTTCAGCAAAGGCCTGAGGCCCCATGGGATGATCCCAGCCTCAGGATCTGGGTGCTGTGCTGCCAAACCACCTCAGAGATGCTTGGTCCCTCTCTCCGCGCAGACCATGGGATTCTGCTGGCACAGGGACACCCAGCAGATGCTATCCCCTCCATCTCCTCCAGCCCTGCCAGCTTCCCCCTCATCCCCAGAATCCCACCTGTCCCCAGCGTGCCAAAAACTTGCTTAAAACAGCTGGGAACAGAGGTTTATTTGGAGAAATAATCCAGATTGGGGCAGATTAGTGGAAACATGTCCTTCCCCATCTGCCTGGGCACTGCTGTGCCAGCTCCCTGAGTGGCTGCCTGGAGCCAGGCTTGGGGAAAACACACAGGGACTTCAACCTGCCCCCTGGCCAAACTGAGTATCCCCACCTCCTGTCCCTCAGGAGGAGTCCCCCAGTTCCTGGTGGTGTCACTTCCAGCCCCTCCTTGCTGCTGGGGACAGCTCTGTGCTCAGCAAGGAACGCCCATCTCCTAGGAATATCTCAACCTGGCTAATTAGAAACATCCATAGGTAAACTGGAGATATCCTTACTAACAATCCCACTTTCTTTGGCAGGGCACAGGAGTGACCCCTAAACCAGAGGAAGGACAAACAGAGCACTGGGCCTGGGTGTGGCAGTCCCGAACCACCAATGTTTCAGGTGAACCCTGCTGAGGACTGAAATCCATTTCTGTGGAATTTTTCCCCTGTACAAACCCTTCCTTGCTATCCACCCTGCTTTGTTTGTGCCTCAGTTTCCCCCAGGTATGAGGGTAGCATCCCTGTCTTGCTTTTCCTAAAGGAAACAATGAAAAGCAGAGGGTGTTTTTCCTCCCTCTGAAGGTTTGGGTTAATTTGTGATAATGGAGGAAGAAATGTGAGGACTAAGGAGCCTGGTGTGTAGGTTCTGAGGGGTGAAGTTGCTTGGGGAGAAATAATTATCAGTGAATCAGTGTGTTTCACAAGGCAGCTTATGGCTGATTTTCTTCCCTGCCCCAGTGCAGGAGCACCACAGCCCTGGGCTCAGTGAGGACAAGGGTGATGCTCCAGCCGAGTTATTTCTCCTGGAAAAATCCAGCTGCCATCACCACACTGGGAGTTTTGGCCTCTTCTGCACGAAGGAGAACCATACTCAGCCTCTTTCCTACAGCCCTGGGCACCATGGAGCACCTTGGGCCACAGGGGATACCCTGATTCGGTGACATGAACACCTGAACGCCCCCAGGATGTTCTGGAGGCTGGGTGTCCATCCCAGCTCCAGCTGCACCCACATCCCCCTCCCCAGCCAAACCTTCCTGCCTGCCCGCTTGATCGGCCCAGGGAATATCTGAGCTTTTGAAAATAAGGAAGGAAAAGCAGATCTCAAAGCCTGTGCCGGTTGCAAAGCACTAGTGGCACATCATATGCAGGGCATATAAATAGACATTTTCTGGCTTTTTTCCCCTCTTCTGTTTTGATGATGAGCCACTGCAGGGGGCTCTGAGCATGCTTTCCTTGGTTCCTATCACAGATACTGTTTCTATCCTGCATTTCCCTAGGCTCCAGGAGCTGCTGGGGTGACTTTCTGCTCGGGCAGCAGCTCCTGCCATGAGCTTGGGACATTGGGAGGTCCACATTCCTTCATGGAAAGGGACTGCATGTAAATGTGATGGCAGCTGCATCTCCAAACACAAGGCCTTATTTGAGAACCCAAAAAGCACATTTTGACTCTCAGCTAATCCAGAGGTTCCATAATCCAGCTCCTTCATCATGTGCAGGGTATGCGCTGTACAGAATCATATCTATACTAACAAGCAACAGGAATTGTGCTCCCACAGCTTTAGCTTTATCCAGCCCGATCCTACCCCCTGCACGTCACCTGGGGGGGCTTGGCATCCTTGGAGGGGTCTCACTGCACCCAGCTTGGAAGGCCAGGATGGCCCGAACCTTTTGGTGCCAAAAGGTGAAGTGCCCTCATCCCTGGGCAACAGAAGCCACCACCTCCCTCCCTCTGGCCTCAGGAAAAGCTGGAGCCACCAGCTGCCCACACCAGCCACCCCTTCAGATAAAGGGCTTCGGGGTCAGGGAGTGTTTGGCCACTTCTCATTTTGCCTGGAGGCGATTTCCTTGCCAGAGCCCATTATCTATTGCCAGAGCCCAGCACGGGTGCTCTGTTCCCTGCTCCAACATTCCCCTTCTCCCTGCTTCCTCCAGGCTTCTCCCTGCCCCATGCTCCCCCTCACCAGGGTTCCCCATCTCTGTCCCCGCGAATGGATGCTGTGCCCCTGGAGTCACAGCTGGGGTGTGCTCTGCCAGATGTGCACCACCCTGCACCAAATCCACCCTGCTGCCCCTTCTTTTGCTCAGGGGCTGCTGTTTGGCTGCACTGGGGTGGGAAAGGGAAGGAAGGAGGAGGTGGGGAAGCAGAAGGCGAGGGTAGGCTGAGATTTCTCCCCTGGAAGCTGACTGCATGGAGTGACAAGGTGGCACTGGAGCCCACAAGGTCCAGGGGAAAAACCTCAGGAAAAGGTCCTCAAAATGCAACAAGTTTCACAAGGAGCTGAGCCGTGGGGATCTCAGGATTCCCCAGGAGCCAGGACAGAGCGGGGAACCAGCTCCTGCTCAGCAGGACCAGCTCAGAACACCCAGCAAAATCATTGTGATTCCCAGTGCCGTACCCCCACTCGAACACAACCCAGCCTCAGGCTCTCCTTTCCCACCTCGATACTGGGAATTGAAGGGCAGGAATTTCAAAGGGGAAAAATGCAAAGGATCCTGCAGCAGGTTGCATCCCTCCCGGCGCCTCCAGGCACGGCCGGGATGGAAATAATTGTGCTTTCCCCCTGGCAGCTGAGTGCACACGCACGCAGGCTCAAGGAACACAGCTCCCGCAGAACTCTCACCTCAAAGCCAGCACACCGCGCACATTCCCGAGCATCCCCGAACACCCGGCACGCCACCCGCGGCTGAAGGAAGCCGCGCTCCTCGCCCTGCCCGCATCAGCCTCCCGCCGTGGGGAAAGGCAAACGTAGATGCCTCAAAACGCAACGCTTCAGCGTTCATCCCAGCACCGAAACTTGGCATTTTAAGACGCCGCATTCCAAAAGCTGCAGCTTCCTTTGGGGAAGCCCCGCAGCCGGATATGCTCAGCGCTCCGGCACATCACGAATTGGGTACCAAAACCAGGAGAGAATTGCTTTAGAAAACTGTTACCTGGATAATTTTCCCGAGCCCCTGTGCTGCTGCCAGAGAAGGATCAGGACTGGCAAAGAGATCTGTGCACAAGCCACACAAAACCCCTCTGCATCCCTGGCCACCAAACCAGCTCAGCAAAAGTTCCAAAGCACCGATGGAAGCAGAGGAGCCCAGAGTTCCCTTCCTCTGGCAAACCGACCGCAATAACTTCGCCTCAGCAGCGGGGATATTCGTAAATCATTTGCAAGGAGCTGTATAGAAAATAGACGATGGAGTGGGTGCAGCTTTCAATATATTTGCCTAGGATATAGTAACAGGTACTAAAGCAAACACGGACAGGGGAATTAGGGCAGGAGCTTCTGCTGGGCTCGTTTTAAATTACAAAGTGCCGAGACAGCCAGGTCTACGCTACATTCTAGAGTCAAAGGGCTGCCCCCGCGTGCCCCGGGGAACATGCACGCAGCCAGCGGAGGCGTTTCCTACAGCTGCATCGCCTTGTGCCTAGAACGAGCTGGAAATGTCATTGAACAAAACCTAATGGATAAACGGGTTCGGAAAAGCACGTCGCTTCCCGGGGGGAGCAGCTGGACTTGTTCTCCCATTTGCAGAGAAAAGAAAAGGGAAAAAAAAAAAAAGAAGAAATCGAGTTAAACTTTGCACCTGTCAAATAGAAATCTAATAGGAAAGAGAGCTGTACATGGTCGAAGTCAAGTCCAGGCTCCAGGAACGTCCAGGAGGACAGTTTCAGGTACTGCCCGCGGCTTCCCGGGCTGAGCCAAGCAAACTGCGCCGAGCCGCGCACCCGGGCGTGGGAGCTTCCCAGCGGGCGTGGGAGCGCCGGGGCTGTGCACGCCAGCACCCCGCGGGCACCGCCGGGGGAGCGGTCCAGCCCGGTGCCCTGCGGGACCCGCGGGCTCGGAGAGGGCGCGGGAAGGGGGAGCCGCTCCGGCTGCCGGGGGCGCGGTCAGAGGCCAGGCGTGCCGGCGCAGCGCGGGTCGGCGTCCTGCTCGTAGCGGTAGTGGTAGCCCTCCATCTGGTCGCGGCACGCCTCGCGCAGGTTGTGCAGCCAGCGCTTGATGCCGCGGCGGTTCAGGTAGAGCACCATGAGGAACACAACGCCGATGAGCGCCAGCACGATGCCGAAGAAGACGTAGGAGGCGGTCTCCAGCTCGCCGGGCTCGCCGCCCTCACTGCGGGCGCAGGCCAGCGCCTCGGGCCGCAGGCGCAGCAGCGCCGTGCCGCGCAGCCCAGGCGGCCCCGCGCAGCGCAGGCTCCGCGCGTCGAGCACGCGGGCGGCGGCGGCGCGCAGCCAGGCCAGGAAGGGCCGCAGGCCGCAGTCGCAGCTTAGCGGGTTGGCGCCCAGGCTCAGGCGCAGCCCCCGCAGCTCCGGCGAGTCCAGGCTGCGCAGCTCAGCGGCCGCCAGCCGCCGCAGGGAGTTGTTCCGCAGGTCCAGCTCCTCCAGGCCGGGCGTTAGCAGGGCGGCCGGCAGCGCCTGCAGCGCGTTGCCCGCCAGCTCCAGGCGCCGCAGGCTAAGGTTGCGCATGGCCAGGGCGAGCTGCTCCTCCAGCGGGGCCGCCAGCAGCGCCTGGTTCAGCTGCAGCGTGCGCAGCAGCGGGACCCCGGCGAAGGCGCCGGCGGCCACCGAGAGCAGCGGGTTGTGGCTCAGGTCGAGGGTGCGCAGGCCGGGCAGGCCTTGCAGGGCCATGTCCTCGATGGTGTGGATGTTGTCGTGGCGCAGGCGGAGCAGGCGGAGGTCGTGCAGCGGAAGGGCGGCGAAGGCGGCGCGGGACAGGACGCTCAGGTTGCTGCCGGCGATGCTGAGGTTGTGCACGGCGGCCGGCAGCTCCCTCGGGGGCTCCTCCAGCCTCTCGTAGCGGCACTGCACCAGCTCCGGGGTGGCCACGCAGTAGCAGGCGGAGGGGCAGGCGGCGGGGGCGGCGGCAGGGGGCACGGCCAGCGGCAGCAGGGCGAGCCCCAGCCAGGGCAGCCAGCGCCCGCCGCCCGCCGGCCGCGCCTGCCTGCGGGCCATGCTGCCCGCGCGGGCATGCAGCGCCGGGCCGGGCCGGGCCGGGCCGGGGGCCGCGGGGGCGTCAATCCTGCCTCGCCGCAGCCCCCCGGGGCCGATCTGCCTCCGGCGCCGCGCCCGCACACGGCGGCTCTGCCGGCAGCGCCGGGCTCGCCGCTGCCCAAATCGGGCCGGGGGGGGGGGGGGTGGAAGGGGAGGAGAGCGAGGAGGAGGAGAAGGAGGAGGAGGAAGAAGAGAAGGGGACAGGTTGGGGCTGCCCGGCGCTGCGCGATGGGCTGGGGAGCGCCGCGGGCGGCGGCCGTCGGGGGAGCCGAGCCGGGCTGGGCTGAGCCGGGCGCGGCACCGAACCCACCGAGACGCCGGCGCTGCGGGGTCCTGGGGGCTGGACGGGGCTGCCGCGGTCCCCTTGCTACCCGAGGAGGGATTAGGAGATGCCGCGGTCCCCGTCAAGCCCGGGGAGGATTTGGAGGCTGTCCCGGTCCTTTCCCAGCAAGGTGGGCGTTGAGGGGTTGCTGCGGGGTGTCCCCCAGCCCCGGGGAGGGAATGGGGGCTGTCATGGGGTCTTGCCACCCCAGGGAGGATTCGGGGAATTACCTCAGACCTCTTCCATTCCAGGGAGGATGTGGGGGGTTGATTGTCTCAGCTCGCCTCCACCCAGGGAGGATCTAGGGGCAGTCCCACTCTCCTTCCAGCTCTAGTCCCCATTCCCTCAACTTCCCCACAAGCCAGACACCCCGCAGCCTCCCTGAGCATTGCAGGGTTATCTCCTCCTGCTTCCAAGCCTGCTTGGTCCACACCAGCATCCCGGGGGCTGCCCAGGGCTGGGGGCACAGGGGGGGATCACAAAGCCTCTGGGCATGGAGGGTGGTGTTGGGGTGGTTTGGGATTTTTGGGTGCTGAAGCGATGCACAGCCAGGGACTGGGAGTGCTGTGTTCAGAGCCAGATGCAACAAAAGTTGGATCCCCTTCAGTGCCTAAATACCTCTGTGGGCCTGAGCTGGGGTCACATTAAATAAACCCCATCCTGGGCACACAGAACCCCAGAAAAGTTTCGGTTGGAATGGACATTGAAGTGTATCTAGTCCCACCTCCTGCCATGGGCAGGGACACCTTCCACTGTGCCAGAGCCCTGTCCAGCCTGGCTTTGGACACTTCCAGAGATGGGAGTCTCGTGGGTCTTGATTTTTCTCCTCCTCCCTGTCCTTATCTCTCATCCTGACCTTTTCCCCTCTTATTGGGGTTCCTTTCCCCAGAGGCTCTCCTGAATTTTACAGGGACCAGGTAAATTGTGGATGCTGCTATGACGGGTGGCTTCAGCTGCTGCTGACCACCCTGTGCTGCAGTCCCAGAAATTGGGCAAACTCTGTATTTAAAGTGACAGTGTCTAACAGCAGCCAGGGAAATCAAGGAAGCTTGTAGAAGGGTGGGGGAGAGCAAGGGGCTGGGGAATGTGCCAGATAACTGTGTGCCATCACATATTGAAGTGTGGGGCAGCGGATGAGTGGGGAGAGCCAGATGTGCAGTGGGTCGTGCTGAGCCAGCACTGCAGCACTCCCAGATGGAGCCTCCTCTCTCCCAAAATAGCACCTTGCAGCCCATTTGTCACATTTAATTGCTATATATAAAGAATTGATAGCACTCTGGAAGACAAGACAGTGGGTGGGTGAGGTCAGGCCAGGTGAACCAGGTCCTGGCAAGTCTCACCATCCGGGCTGCGAAGATCCCAGCACCTCAGTCCTTCTCTGGGCTCCTCAGACAAGGAGGTGCCACAAGAAAAGGCAGGCAGCTTCCCTCCTGATCCAAAATCCATAAAACACAGCAGCTGACGGATGTTAGAGGTTGTGGGAGAACATGAGGCTCTCTGCAGCTGACCCCTTTGACTTTGAAGGGTGGAGATGCTCCAAGGTTTGGAGGGGAAGGGTGTTTCAGGGCCATGCTGCGGCAGGGTGACTTTGGGGATGTGGGGGCTCTTGCCTGGTGGCACCATGGTGACTTCCTTGCCTGCTGCAAACACCCTGGACTTCCCCAGGGATGGCTGGGGGTGGTGAAGCCGCAGCATCCAGCTCAGCAGAGCTGTGAGCCTTTGGGGAGCCGGGGCTGTGCCAGTGTGTGCAGCAGCTCCCGAGGTCCCAGCATCCACCACTAGGCTGATGTTACTCGTTCCGAGCTGCCAGTGGTCATGCTGGAACCTGGAGCCCCTCAAACACACCGTGTACAGGCCTTCAAACCCCTGACAGGCTTGGATCGATTTGAGAGCCTCCTCCACCATCCCCCCTGACCATAATTCTGCATTTGAAGCAGCATTGAAGACTTCCTGTGGTTAAAGGCCGGGAGATTGCCGCGTCTCAGGATGAGATTAGGTCAGGCTGATGTGATTTGTTCCTACAATTCCATACAGACTGTTATTCATTGCCTCGTTATCTTCTGGATGCTTCCAAGGAGAATTGATTCCTTGTGCCATGTCTTTGGTAACTGCTGTTAGGCCACCTGCTCTGTGACATCGCTTCTCTTTCCCCCTCATCAGTGGTGGCCCAGGTTATTTTTGGTTTTGCACCCTGGGGATGTGCAGGCACAGCTCTGGTTCCTCTCCCACCGTGTCCCACACCGTTTTTGGTTTTTTTTTGCTGCTGGTGCTGCTCTTGTTTGCAGATGGCTTTTTTGTGAAGGCTGGAACAAAAAGACAGTGAATGCTTTGGCTGGTTCCTTCTAGTGGTAGAGGGCATTGTTCCTTCCCTCTCCATCCCTCTCTGTTTCCTGCTGCTGCAAACTGAGGCTGAGGGCTCTCCTCATCCTCCTCTGGGCAGAGAGTGGATGGAGAGCAGCCCTGAGAAGGACCTGGGGGGTGTTGGTGGGTAAAAAACTGGACATGCTCCAGCCCAGAAACCCTGGGCTGATCCCACAGCCTGGACAGCAGGAGAGGGGGATTCTGCCCTGTGCCCAGGTGAGACCCCACCTGCAGAGCTGCCCCAGCCCTGGGGACTTGGCAGCAGGACCTGGAGCTGCTGGAGAGAGTCCAGAGGAATCCATGGAGCTGCTCCAGGGCTGGAGCCAGGCTGGGAGAGCTGGGGATGCTCACCTGGGAAGGAGAGGACTCCAGAGAGAGCTTAGAGCCCTTGCAGGGCCTAAAGGGGCTCCAGGAGAGCTGGAGAGGGACTGGGGACAAGGCATGGAGGGACAGGACAAGGGTCAGAGTGACAGAGTAGGTTTAGATTTGAAATTAAGAAGGAATTCCTGACTGTGAGGGTGGGCAGGCCCTGGCACAGGGTGCCCAGAGCAGCTGTGGATGCCCCTGTATCCCTGAAGTGTCCAAAGCCAGATTGGACAGGGCTTGGAGCAGCCTGGGACAGTGGAAGGTGTCCCTGCCAGCACTGCAGCATTTGAACCCAGCCATTAACCTTTGCTCAGCCAATGCTGGCAGCAGCATCCCTTTATAACCTACACCTGTGACACTGGAACTACTCATTTCCCTGCAGGAGCATGCTTGGAAAAATGCTGGAAAATAATTTTTTTTTTTTACGTTTCCCACATAAAACTGTTGGAAAGGACATTCCTTTCACTTAAAAATAACTCTTCCACCTGTGTTTGCAGAGGTTTGGCACTGAAGTTCTGGTTTTGCCTTGTCCCAGGTGATTTCTTTCCCTCCCTTTCTCACACGCTCTTGGGATTACAAAAGGTTTAGTAAAAATCTGCTTTTAAGCCAAGATGGGAGAGTCCCCAGGCACAGGAAATGGAGGCTAATTCCCAGATTTTGTGTCTTGCTCCAGGAATGGTGCTGGGGCTGGAGGTCAGTCTGGACCTGCCTGGTCCCACGGCCAATCTGTTTCCCTGTGACCTGGCAGAAATTGCCTTCCCCTGCACCAGCAGATAAAAAGTGGGAAATAAAAGCCCGGCCAGACCGGGCTGGCAAAAGCAGATGGGGACAGCATGTCGCTGTGGGTTGTGGCTGGCCATGGTTATCCCTGCAGGAAGAGCTCATCCCTGGGATTGGCAGAGGCCCACTGCTGTCTGGATGCTCCACACCGCCTCCCCAGCTCCCATGTCCGTGTGTCCCAGCTGGCAGCAGCCAGGTCCCATCTGTCACTTAGGGAACAGGGTGGCTCCTTTTGGTAGCCCCAGGCACCATCAGTGCCGCTGCTGCAGCCCCACTAATGAATTCCTCGAGCTAATCCGGGGAGCCGGCTGGAACGACACGGCTGAGCCGCCTGGTGCGTATTTTCAGATGCTATTGAGGCTTTTGCATTTAAACATTACAGACTGGCAAAGGCAGCTGCAGGTGGGCAGGACCTGGGCGCTTCTCCAGGTAGGAACAGCCCTAAGGAGCCGGGAGCTGCTTCCTGCAGAGCGGTGGAGGGGACAGGGGAAGGCAGTGAATCAGCAACCCCCTGGGTGACCTGGGGTCACCAAGGTGTTTATCCAGCATAGATAAGTGGAACCCTGCAGTGCTGGCCTGTGCTGCCTTCCCTGGGCACCAGGGTGCCCAAAGCCAGGCTTGGCTTTGCTGTGTCCAGGGCCCAAGGGAGAGAATGCCACTCCAGCCCAGCAGGGAAACAACAAATCCCTCATGCAAAGCCACAGGATGCAGGAGGGGAGGGAGGGATGGCCCCTCTGGATCGTCAGGGCTGGGTGCAGAGCCCAGGGGTGTTTAACTGCTCTGTTCAAACTACGGCATCCGAAGGAGAGGGCACCCTCTCCCCAGCCACCCACAGAGCCCCGTGTGTGCTGGTAATGCTCTATAAATACATTAGCAATAAATAATGGATAACCTGCATGGGCATTAAAGTGTAAACAGGAGGTGAAGGGCTCTCTCCCATTACCGGTCCCCCGAGAGCCACGCGCATCCCTCTCTCCAAGTCTGCCTTGATGCTACTCCAACTGTAGAGCCCTTAGTCACAGCAGTGACAATATCATAGATCAGTTCTCCAGAGTTGGCAAAAACAAACCAAAAATAGTCCGGAGGGCAGAGTCTTCTTCCCAATGGCCTGCTGGATTTGCCTGCATCAGCATTTTTGCCTGTGGTGCTCCTCTGCCTGCATGGGCTGACCCTCCCAAGGAGTCAGAGCCCTCTCCCTGGCACACAGCTGGGGAATGCCCCTGATCTGGGAGGTTTTATCCCCCTCGGATGCAGCTGAAGTGTTGAGCCATGCCAGCTGGATATGGTCCCCAAAAGTCACTGCCCTGAGGCTGAAGGTGGCCCCGTTCCCAGGCTGGGGGAGATTGTCCGCATCACCATGGTGCCCGTGCCCACAGATGGTCCCAAGGGATGGCATGGACACCCATGCCATGTGCAGAGAGACAAGGGGATTAAATTAATTTATGGGTGTGACGTGGGATCATCTTGGGAGGAGACTTGTGCTGGGAGTTGAAGGAGGAACTCGTCAGAGTCAGGCAGGGTTTGCACAGAAAGGGGGTCCCATTCTGCTTCCAAAGGGTCCTCAACCCCAAATAAAAGCAAACCTACCTGGTACCAGCCATTAATGATATATCCCAGGGTCCA